CACAAGCTAATCACTCAGCCATTTCAATGCTAAATTATATGCTAATTCCTTTGTCAAGGCGCTTTGTTTCCTCTCACACAGCTTAAAGGTCGTGATCTGAACGTGGCTCTTTCACTCCAGCGCTGTCCTACCAGACAGTCTCGTCCCTTCACCTGATGAAGACCGCTTGTGTTGTGGCCGAAACGTCGTGAGAATATTATTATTTTATTTTATCAATTTATTATTTTATTCTCATTCTACGTGACTTTACCGAAAGAACCAAAGAAGATGAATCATTGCAGTCACGAAAGCTTTAAATCGAAAGGCGCCTGTTGTCTGTACACTTTTGAGGCGGCCTTTGAAGCCATGTAGAAATTCCCCAGAATCTCATTATCAACCCCCCCCTCTCCTCTTTTTTTGCACCGGGTTATTTATTACCTTTTATGGCTACTTCCTTGCCTTGTCATGAGTGTGAAAGGCAGCTGCTGTTTGAGGGGAGGGGGTTCGCATCACCCCCTTTTTGCCACAAGCGACACCACGATTGATTAATATTCAAAAAATATATATTGGCAGAATTAGTCTTAATATTAATTTTGGAAAAAGGCCTATATATACAACAGGACTCCCTTGTCCATCATGTAACTGTGCAAAAAGGCGTCGGCAATGGATGCAGCTGATTGGTCGGGCAATGGCCAAGCCATTGGCCACCAGGAGAAATATCCTACCCCGACCAGGAGAAATGTATTCCCTTTCTGTGTGGCCAGGAAGTGTCCCAGGATGTTAAGCGCAACCAACTTGTTATTCCGAGACACCATAATGGACTGCAATGGGGGCTGAGACTTTCTTAATGGTGGATTCAAGCACGCGCAATCAGTGCAACCCTTTACCAGATGGTACACATCGCTCGACATTCCCGGCCAATAAAAGTCTCGCTGCAAAGTTAATGTCTTTCGCACCCCGAGGTGTAACAACATATCTTCACGTACCATCCACGTCAACCTACCCCGCAAGGCAGTGGGAACCACTATGCAGTGACGCTGCAGCCCCTCGTCCCACCTCATCAAAAGTCCTTCGTGAAGACAACCTGTGATGTAACTCAGTGCGGCACCGCAAGTTCAGCAATGACACATCCTCTATCTGCAGCTGCCTCCACTCGACATGTGTGAGGCCAAACTGCTGTCTCCAGGTGTGACCACCTTGGCTGGTTCCACGTCACTGAATGCCGCTACGACTCTCGGCGACCCAGCCACCAGTGGTTTACACTGGCCCGCGCCCTATGAACACACACAACGTTCCTTCAGGGGCAAGGGCGATAATGCGTCCGCATGACAGTGCCGTATACCTTTACGATAACTTACCCAGAATTAGTACTCCTGGAGTATTTCCAGCCAGCGTGAGAGCTGGCCGGAAGGTTGGTCTACTCGCAGAGGACTGGAGGGCTGCATAATCCGTGCAGACAACAAAGTCCCTTCCATAAAGATAAGGCCTGTACTGCTGTATAAAGTACACCATGGCCAAAAGTTAACTGCGGGTGACACAGTACCACTGTTCTGCGGTAGACAGAACACGACTTCTGTACGTGACCACTCTCTCAACCCCGTTCTTTACCTGGGACAGGACATCCCCTATGTCCGTGTCACGCGCATCCGTCCAATATAAATGGCAGGGATAAATCCAGATAGTCAAGAGGAGGTGCATTGGAAAGGCGATCACGTAGTACAAAAAACGCAGCCTCCTCCTCCTCCCCCCATCTAAACTTATGGTTATTGGCGGTCAGAGCCTGGAGAGGTTTAGAAACCGTCACGAACGGCGGAACAAATCATCGGTAATAGGATGCAAACCCCACAAAACTGTGCACGTCACCCAGACTTTGGGGTTGGCCAATTGCATACACACGCCGTTTTGTTCGAATGTGTGGCTATTCCGGAAAAACTCAATCTGGCCCAAATATCGTACCATAGTTTGCAAATGGCATTTACCGGGTTTTGATTTGAGATTTGCTGATCGTACCCCGGATAACACAGAATGCAACCACTGCAAAAGTGCGCCCAAACACAATGATGTCGTCTAGATAAATGAGGCACGAGTCCGATTGCAGGCCTGCCAGGACCAATTCCATCAGTCTCTGAAATGTGGCAGGCGCTGAGTGCAATCCCATGGGGAAAATTGACGGAAAAGCGCAGACTGCCATCGTGCTTTTTCACTTAACACCACGGGGGCTCCCCAAGGGCTAATTGAGGGAGAAATAATGTCAACGGCCAACATTTCCTTCAGCGCCTGCTGTATGTGGTCTTTTTTCAGCGGGCTCAACTGATATGGTTTCTGACGAATCGGGGCTGTATCGCCCGTATCAATGTGGCGTTACAGCATGGCAGGTACGGTCGATATCAAATTTACTTTTGCTAAAAACGTCCTAAAATTCACGCAGCAGCGATCGCAACTCATTCTGCTGGGGATAAATTTTGGTTCTCCTGACACTTCTCTGCCCATGCCCCGTCCAACTCGGCTCTCTGTTCCACCACTCAAACGACTTCCTCTTGCGTGGTTTCGACCACCTCGTACCACGTGGCCGCCGCGTGATCCAACACCATACCTGCTTGGACCACAGCTCTTCCCACTCCTATGTTCAAGACTGGCTCCTGGTTCATTTGAAGGATTGTCTGCGCACCCACCAGCGTAAGGCCATGGGTCGCCATATTGGATGGTGTTAAGACTTCCGCCTCAGGGTCAGCCTGCTGTTCACGCACCCTAACAAGAGGATGAGGGTGGAAATTACCTCAGGGATTCTGGATGCATGAGATGGTGATAAGGGCCGGGTGTCCGATGTGTCACGACTCGCCCGTCGGGGCTGGGACGTGGCTCTCGGCGGGACGGAGGATGTCGGCAATGCTGTTTCTGTAGGGCCATCGTTCTGGCATCCCCACGCAAAATGTCCCAGCTGTCCGCATCGGATGCAGGTGACCACGGGTCTCCGCAGCTGCCGGGTCGCCTCCTCTCTGGGCGCACCGTGCCAACCGGGTGGCCGAGGTATTGGCCGGCCCGGGTTCCCCTAACCACGCCGCCATCTGGAACCACCATCGCATGTTCTCATGAACCTGCAGGCATCTGGCGACCCACCGGGACGTCTGCATGTCCTCAACCACCGGCAGCACGATCCCCATCTCCTGGGCCAACCCCAACATATTCTTCATAAGGGAGTCTGATCCATCCGTGGGTATGCTGCCTGCCCCAGCGCAAAAAGCGCACTGCACTAAGCGAGGGGCGTAAGGGCCTTCCCTCACCTCCGCTGCAGGAATTTCTTCCGCGTGTTGGAAGGTTGACCGTAGACGGCTAACATCTCCTTGTACGCCTGTTGAAGAGTGGGTTGCCTCTCGTCGGGAATAGCCCAGAACGCTGTAAGAGCGTCATCATCCAGTGCAGTCGGCAGGGCCCGCAAGGCCTCATCCTCATCCTCCGTCCAATCCACGGATAAGTAGGCTGCCTCGAAGCGACGGGTAAAAGCGCTCCAGTCACCCCCCGCTGCAATTAATTCTCTGGATGGCAGCATTTTCCGGGGTCGGTCAGTCGTTTTTTCCTCGCTGCCGGAATCGCTGGTACCTCCACCGCCTCCGATGCTTTTTGTAAAATGGCAGCGCTCGGTCGCGTCGCCTCCGCGCCAACTGAAATGGCAGCCAATGGATGCGTGGACTCCACCACGGGAACCCCGGCAGCTGGCGCTCGCCCCACTCCCTCTGGCGGAACTTTGGGCTCCATCCCCATCGCTCCTCCACTGGTCGCGGTCGTGCTCATTAGCATGACGAGCTGTGCGACGGTCGCCCGCAGGAGATCCAGCTGAGCTGCCACCTCCCGCCATCCTTCCGTGGCTTGTGGCTGTGGAGGCGCGGCCTCCCACGTCCTCTGTCTCTGGCGATAATCATCCCGCGGCCGCAGACTTGCTCACTGGGACCGCGGCTCCCGGGACTGCCTGGGGGGTCTCCACGTCGTCCGCATCCTTGTCTGAAGTAGCTACAAGGTGGGTTTCTTTTCTTGTGGTACCTCGACTTTTTTTTACTTTTCTAGCACCAAATGTAATGTATTGACTTCAGAGACACGAACTGTAGAGGGCGTTTTAATTATTTATTCCGACTTACGACTACAACTTCATAACACGGTTACAGTGTAGAATATAGCGCCAACTCTACATAACTGGCCGACCACATAGCGACAATGGCGACGTCCGACTATATAGATGGCTAACTATATTGACAACGGCGACGAAGAGACAGCGACGGCAGCGACGATGACAGCCAGGACCCAGAATCCCGACAGCCACGAACCCCGCACCCAGCATGGCCAAGCTCCGCCCTTGGCTACGCCCCTCTTCTTGAACTCTCTCACGGGTTCCAGGAGCTTCCAGTTCGATCCTCACTTTGACCCTTGGCCCAGTTATCCCCCCGTTGTGGTCGCTCACGTGTGTACTGTCTGTTGTTTTTACACTCGTATTTCACACTCATGGCCGAGAATCAGCATAATCATTACACCTGCATAGGTTAAGCCCCACATTGAAGTGAAGTAATCATAGACGAAGACAAACTACATAATCAAAGACAACAATAGTGTTAAGTGTTGCAGATCAGTTCTGCATGGCTAGTGGCCACATTGTAATATATTGTTGCAACAAGGACATGGATTCCACAAATCACGGTCCTGGTTACAGATCTACCCAACATGTATGGTCACATATGCTGGCTGCTCTTACTCTAGTGTCCAAAAAGTCGACCCAAACCTCCACTTCCACAAACAGCTGAGATTTGTCGTGGGCTCCCTCAGTCCACGCTCTCCTCCAGCTTAATGCTGCTCCCATTGATGACCTGGAGGTTAAACCCTGGAGTCCTTACATTTCAACTTCACCCCTGGCCATGTATCCATGCTGTAATGCTCTTCTGGTTATTTTGTTACAAGAGATGGGCTCACTGTGGCACTTTGACTACCACATGTCGATTTCAGATTCTGCTCCTTGTGGATCTCCCTTGTGTTTCGGCTTCAACACTTCAAAGGCCTTTGAACAGTGTACTTGATTGGGTTTTTTAAAATGTGTATGTCCTGGCAGTTGTGAAGATTTGATGACCGTGCAAACGTCTTACCACATAGTACATGTGATGGACTCCTATTCTGTGCGTGTTCTGTGGTGTCTGTCAAGATTTGATGACCGTACGAATGCATTACAAGTGCACAATCATCACATCCCGTGGAGGCGAGTTTTGCTCTTGGTGATGTCACAAGCCAGAGAGAGGGAGGCTCTGACATCACCTACCCGTGACTTTGAGGTGACGTCTCCATAGAAAGCTTCTACATATTTAAGTAAACATATGGTAAACAAGGTGTGACATTGAAGGACACATTTTATTAAAAATATATATTTAAACAGAGATAGAAATCAAATGAAACCTAGGCTATAAGAAAAAACGTTATGCTTTCAAATGCGCTCTTAAAATAACCTCCTTGCTATGAAACTAAACGGCAGACACGATGTTTTTCATTTATCGGTCTCTCCAGGAAAGGAATGTTTTAAACAAATTATAAATCTCACGGCCTTCTGTGAGTGCATATTTTCTGCAGCATTGATTCAGTGCAAGCCAACTTTGAACCGCTTTTGGTGTAGAGTGTCTCAACAGCATTCGGGCTTGCTTCAGCCGATAGTTGTGAATGTCCTCATGTTCCTCAGCAAGGACCGTTTCTAGACCGAGCTTGACAAAATCTATATAAGGCATTAAATTATAAAATGTTGTTGTGGAGAATATCTCCTATACGTTTTAAGTGCTCTGCCTTGTAACTGATGAATTATCCGACTATGTTCCTTATTTCAAATACAATGAGTTGCTCTAGAGGCAGATTCTTCCTGAATCACAAATAAATACTCTTTGACTTGTATCACGAGAACAGTTCTCACGTAAATTCACTTTACAGGTTACTACCAAACACACACTTTTGTCCAGTCAATCACGGATTCCATATTTGGCCCTTATAGACAAAATGTTACCTGTATGCAAACAATTTAGACAAATATTCATTAGATTCTCATTCTAAATTACCCACTGGCATTAACAAAATTGTATTACTGCACTGAAATGTGCTGCATCCCATTACATCGTATTTCCAGTAAGTTGATCTCCTACTACACTTGCGGCACTCAAGATTCAGGTAAGTGGTAGTGCATTCTCGATTTGTTGCAGAGGTTCAGGGTTCAAATCCGACAGGCACCCCGGTTTACTCCAGGAAGTGCACATTTTGATTTGTCTACTTAACAGTGGATGTTGAAATATACTATTGTCATTCAAAAACAAGTAGGCCATTGTATGCTGGCTTCATCCGCAAAATTTTGCCGAATTCTAAACATTATCCACAAATGACAACTGGGATTACACATCAATAATTGCCTCCTATTGACAGACTCATGCCAACATGCAGGCCGGTGGAGGATCGCTTTGTACTCCTCAGAGGCAGCTGCCACTTGGGGGCACCCTTCGAGTGTTGGAGATGAGCTATGTTACAAAACACTGAGTTGCTGAGGCGATTAAGCAAGTACCATATAAATACAAAAATTATTATAATGTAGAGAATGATTTGGAGCTTTGTCTCTCACTCCTGGTTATGCATCTACCCAACCTACAGGTACACAAACATTGGCCGCTACTACTCTGCAGGTTGGACCTAGGAATCGAGTGTTCAACTTCACATTATTTTCATTCAAAAGGCCTGTAACAAAGGTGGATGCATTGGAGCTTTGTCTCAAGCTCATGGTTACACATCCACCTGGACTCCATTTGACTCTGTATTGTATAAAAAGTCCACCCACACCTCCACATCCACAAACTGGAGGGAATTGCCTCGCTGTGCCTCAGAGTCAGAATTCTCCTCTTGTTTCACGCTGCCTCCATCGATGTGGAGGTCAGATTTTGTAGTTGAATCTTCATCTTCATATTTCACCACTTCTTCACATTTCACCTTGATTCCTTTCAAAGCATCCAATATGGGCTTCACTTCTGGTTCTTGTATCACGAGGGATGGACTCATTGCAGCACTTGGCCTTTCACAGGCCAATAGAGTCATTCCCTTGCGAATCTTTTGATGCTTGTTTTGATCGCATAACTGTTGAAAAGCCTTCCCACACACAGTGTACAGAAAGGGTTTCTCTCCTGTGTGTGTTCTCTGGTGTTTTATAAGATGTGGTGACTGTGCAAACGACTTCCCACACACAGTGCACTTGAACGGTTTTTCGCCTGTGTGAGTTCTCTGGTGGTTCTTAAGAGTTGTTGAACGAGCAAATGTCTTCCCACACACAGTGCACTTGAAAGGTTTCTCTCCTGTGTGTGTTCGCTGGTGCGTTCTAAGATGTGTTGACTGTGCAAACGATTTCCCACACGAAGTGCACATGAAAGGTTTCTCTCCTGTGTGTGTTCTCTTGTGGTTCTGAAGGGTTGGTGAATGAGAAAATGTTTTTCTGCATACAGTGCACTTGAAAGGTTTCTCTCCTGTGTGTGTTCTCTGGTGGTCATTAAGAATTGTTAAAGATCCAAATGCTCTCTCACACACAGTGCACTTGAAAGGTTTCTCTCCCGTGTGTGTTCTCTGGTGGATCTGAAGAGTTGTTGAACGAGCAAATGTCTTCCCGCACACAGTGCACTTGAAGGGCTTGTCACCTGTGTGTGTTCTTTGGTGGTATTGAAGATGTGAAGACAGTGTAAAAGCTTTCCCACACACAGTGCACTTAAATGGTTTCTCGCCTGTGTGAGTTCTCTGGTGATTCTTAAGAGTTGTTGAACGAGCAAATGTCTTCCCACACACAGTGCACTTGAAAGGTTTCTCTCCTGTGTGTGTTCGCTGGTGTGTTTTAAGATGTGTTGACTGTGCAAATGACTTCCCACACAAAGTGCACATGAAAGGTTTCTCTCCCGTGTGTGTTCTCTTGTGGTTCTGAAGGGTTGGTGAATGAGCAAATGTCTTTCTGCATACAGTGCACTTGAAAGGTTTCTCTCCTGTGTGTGTTCTCTGGTGGTCGTTAAGAATTGTTAACGATCCAAATGCTCTCTCACACACAGTGCACTTGAAAGGTTTCTCTCCAGTGTGTGTTCTCTGGTGGATCTGAAGAGTTGTCGAACGAGCAAATGTCTTCCCGCACACAGTGCACGTGAAGGGCTTGTCACCTGTGTGTGTTCTTTGGTGGTATTGAAGATGTGAAGATAGTGAAAATGCCTTCCCACACAGAGTGCACTTATATGGTTTCTCTCCAGTGTGTGTTCTCTGGTGATTCTGAACAGTTGTTGAATGAGCGAATGTCTTACCGCACACAGTGCACTTGAAAGGTTTCTCTCCTGTGTGTGTTCTCTGGTGCGTTCTAAGATGTGTTGACTGTGCAAATGACTTTCCACACACGGTGCACTTGAAAGGTTTCTCTCCAATGTGTGTTCTCCGGTGGTCATGAAGAATTGATAACGATCCAAATGCTCTCCGACACACAGCGCACTTGATAGATTTCTCTCCCGTGTGTGTTCTCTGGTGGTTCTGAAGGGTTGTTGAACGAGCAAATGTCTTTCCACACACAGTACACTTGAATGGTTTCACTCCTGTGCGTGTTCCCTGGTGTTGTTTCAAGTTTCCAGTGTAATCCATGCTGTAAGGAGACTGATCACATTGGTGCCTCTTTGTATGGAGCTCTGGTGAGTGTCTTTACTCCATCAGACCAATTCTGCAGAGCAAAGTGGCAGAGGAAGTGGCCGATGCAGACAGAAAACATCAAATCACAATAGTTTTTTTGGGTTACATTGCATAAAGATCAGTGTCATTAAACCCACCACCTGACAGCCAATGAGTAAAGTTTGTCAGAAACAGAACATGCCAATTTGTTACTAGTACTTCATGTTGGTGTGTTAAGAGAGCAAATCCACAACATTTACAATCTGAGTACGATCTTTCACCAGTAATTAACTACCATCATCAGGTGCACAGCCAGCTTTTTTGAGAAATCCGGTTTTGCTCGTTAAATAGATGTGATGACGTCACTAGTGAGCCTTTCATATGCGAAGGGGGGGGGGGGTTAATGAATGCATATAATCGGTATCCATTACTGGTGGAGTTATTCAGACAGTGAGGGAAAAAAGTATTTGATCCCCTGCTGATTTTGTACATTTGCCCACTGACGAAGAAATGATCAGTCTATAATTTTAATGGTAGGTTTATTTGAACAATGAGAGACAGAATAACAACAAAAAAATCCAGAAAAACGCATGTTAAAAATGTTATAAATTGATTTGCATTTTAATGAGGGAAATAAGTATTTGACCCCCTTTCAATCAGAAAGATTTCTGGCTCCCAGGTGTCTTTTATACAGGTAACGAGCTGAGATTAGGAGCACACTCTTAAAGGGAGTGCTCCTAATCTCAGCTTGTTACCTGTATAAAAGACAACTGTCCACAGAAGCAATCAATCAATCAGATTCCAAACTCTCCACCATGGCCAAGACCAAAGAGCTCTCCAAGGATGTCAGGGACAAGATTGTAGACCTACACAAGGCTGGAATGGGCTACAAGACCATTGCCAAGCAGCTTGGTGAGAAGGTGACAACAGTTGGTGCGATTATTCGCAAATGGAAGAAACACAAAATAACTGTCAATCTCCCTCGGCCTGGGGCTCCATGCAAGATCTCACCTCGTGGAGTTGCAATGATCATGAGAACGGTGAGGAATCAGCCAAGAACTACACGGGAGGATCTTGTCAATGACCTCAAGGCAGCTGGGACCATAGTCACCAAGAAAATAATTGGTAACACACTATGCCGTGAAGGACTGAAATCCTGCAGCGCCTGCAAGGTCCCCCTGCTCAAGAAAGCACATATACATGCCCGTCTGAAGTTTGCCAATGAACATCTGAATGATTCAGAGGACAACTGGGTGAAAGTGTTGTGGTCAGATGAGACCAAAATGGAGCTCTTTGGCATCAACTCAACTCGCCGTGTTTGGAGGAGGAGGAACGCTGCCTATGACCCGAAGAACACCATCCCCACCGTCAAACATGGAGGTGGAAACATTATGCATTGGGGGTGTTTTTCTGCTAAGGGAACAGAACAACTTCACCGCATCAAAGGGACGAAGGACGGGGCCATGTACCGTCAAATCTTGGGTGAGAACCTCCTTCCCTCAGCCAGGGCATTGAAAATGGGTCGTGGATGGGTATTCCAGCATAATGACCCAAAACACACGGCCAAGGCAACAAAGGAGTGGCTCAAGAAGAAGCACATTAAGGTCCTGGAGTGGCCTAGCCAGTCTCCAGACCTTAATCCCATAGAAAATCTGTGGAGGGAGCTGAAGGTTCGAGTTGCCAAACATCAGCCTCGAAACCTTAATGACTTGGAGAAGATCTGCAAAGAGGAGTGGGACAAAATCCCTCCTGAGATGTGTGCAAACCTAGTGGCCAACTACAAGAAACGTCTGACCTCTGTGATTGCCAACAAGGGTTTTGCCACCAAGTACTAAGTCATGTTTTCCAGAGGGGTGAAATACTTATTTCCCTCATTAAAATGCAAATCAAAGTATAACATTTTTGACATGCGTTTTTCTGGATTTTGTTGTTGTTATTCTGTCTCTGTTAAAATAAACCTACCATTAAAATTATATACTGATCATTTCTTTGTCAGTGGGCAAACGTACAAAATCAGAAGGGGATCAAATACTTTTTTCCCTCACTGTATGGTAATGTACATTATGCATGCACATTGTTCTTGAATCCTCCTGTTGTTTGCGTGCGTTAAAATATCAGTATTTGTTGGGTTCATAATGCAGTTCACTGAGCCACCGCTCCAGTGCAGTGACGTCAAAGAGTGACGTCATGCACGGCGGCGCGGGGCGGTGATGTCATGTCCCCCTGGGGTATTTAGGCTGGGACCCGTGACGTGAACGAGGTCGTCGTCGGGAGCCGTAAACGTGAGGATGGAAGTCGGGACCCAGGGTAGGGGGAAATTAGCACCAGATTAGGGTAGCCTGTTCGTGGCTAGGGACCTTCCAGTACCCTTCCCCTGGGGGAGCGATGGGACCCAGGGTAGGGGGAATTAGCACCAAGCAAGGGTAGTCTTTGGGTGTGCTAGGGACCTCCCAATACCCTTCCCCTGGGGGAGCGATGGGACCCAGGGTAGGGGGAAATGAGCACCAGGCTAGGGTTGCCTGTGGGTGTGCTCAGGAATCCCCAGTACCCTTCCCCTGGAGTGTAGAGTGTGGCTAGGCAGTGAGTGTGCAGTACACAGAGTCGTGTGTGAAGATGTTAAATAAACAACTGGCGCAAGCCCTTACATGAAGCTCCATCTCCGTGTGGATCTACAAGTGTCCTTGGTGTCAAGAAATAACTACACCACACATCTGTGCTGTAGCCAACAGATAGAAAGAAAATATGACAACTGCCCTGGCCAGTTACCATAATGGGGCTCTGCAAGTTTCTTCTCAGCAGGTCTGGCAAGCCAATATTGAATAATCCTCATCTTGCAATCAGTGTGGTCTAATGTCAGATCTTCGTCCAATCCCACAGACATAATTTGGTGTATGCAGGTGTAATAATGTTCTGTATTACAACATGTGTAAAATCACCATGCTCCCTTAGCAGCTTCCTTTGGAGGTCAATTATGCCCAGCACCAAACTGATCTCAGACTCTGGATGGCCCCTCACACTTAGTCAACAGATGGTGGACCAACCAACCACTCACAGGGGGTGGTTACTTCCTGGAATATGTAAGGCATAGCATACGCAACAAATACAAATCCACAAACACATTTAAATACACAAACACTTGTTAGCTGCTCAGCATGCTAACACAACACGCTCTGCGAAACCACTAACACAGACAGGCTAAAATACAAGTAAAAATAAGGTTACATGTGGAGGGAAAAACCGGAGGACCTGAATGTGAAGCTACACTACCAGTCAAATAAAAAACGCATTAACACAAGCATGTTCCGATTCACACATACACAGTTACACGCAACAAAGACCCCCAGTGTAGTCGTAACAATAAGTTGAGTGGGGTGTATGGGTACTGGACTCAGTTAAGGAAATGTACTGGAGTGGGCACCATGGTGGCGAAATGTTAACTACCTCGCTTTGTGTACAGGAGGTCGTGGGTTCGATTCCGATCCTGACGCCTGCTGCTGCATATTTGCAGTCTGCGTGTCTCTTTCCCCGTGGTGATGGCGTGGATTTTTTTCTCCGGGTCCTCCGGTTTTTCCCCCCACATTTAGAAACACGCATTTAGAGTATTTGGCTGCTATAAATTTCCACAAGGCACCTCGTTGTGGGCAGGTCGCTTCTGAAAATAGAGCTATATAGTCCAGTGGGCTTTACCTGCTAAAATAAGTCGAAATAAACAAAAAAAATGGTTTCAAGTAGTGGGCCAGGTGAAGACAAAATCAACTTAAAAAGAGAATTAAAGCAAATGCAAATCAGGCGAGGACAGGAGGCAAGGCCCCGCATGGCTAGGCACCCGCATGGCTAGTCACCGCGTAGTAATATTCCAACCTGCACATCGATTATACTCGCTGCTACTCAATAATAGCCCTACGAGAGAGAGGAGCGATGCTGTAGCTGGGTAAACAACAGCAACGACAACCACCACGATGTTAACTTCTCACCTCGGAACTCAGGAGCGGAGCAGCAGCTTCCTGGTATCTCGTGACGTCACGCAAAAGCAGGCGGCGATGGAGAGATGACATGACGTCACTAGCGGGGTTTCCACTCTCCCAATGAGCGGCGGTATAATTTAATAAATAATGTTCCGTTATTGGGCGTGGCTTTGCCCACAAGAATTTTACTGGAACGGAAATCGGCAGGGTCCGAGCAGACGTGATGTCACGCGCAGGAGAGTGTTGGGGGCGTGAGAGTCTCTTGGTGACATGACGTCACTAGTGGGTTACTCCTCACCCTGGGGTCTCGGGACGCAAAGGGGAAAGATAGGAAGCGCGGTGAGTGAAGCGGTGTGGTGAGGAGTGTGCAGTGTGTGTACATTATGTGTGTGTGTACGTGTACACTGTGTGCACTTGTGTGTATGTTTTTTACTGACAAGTTAACTGTCTCAAATACATGATCGGCTGTCCGTTTATCATCATTTCAGTTTTGTGTTGTTTTTTATGCTATTTAATTTGACTCAATATATAGCAACTGTGATTATTTAAAGCCACTGTGTGTACATTACAAAGCCTGTATGTGCAGCACCAATTTACACCCCGTGCCTCTATTATCCACTGAGCAGAGCTACCCGTCGTTGTGAACAAAACTTAGGTACAAAGCGTTAGAGGGCAAATCGGACGAGCAGCTGGAAAAGCTGCCGGTGTTAGGGAGACTGCCCCCCGTCTCCCCGTTCTCCTGTGACCCACCGTCCTCCTGCTCTCCCCCCTTCGCTGCTGCTCCTCGGGGCATGATTTAACTAGTTGCACTAACCAACTCGCAGATACGCCGCGGTGCCCTTCTCTTACACGCCAACCACGAGCTGCGCAACGGCGAGAGTGCCCACGCGTACAGAACACACGGGGCACCACAACGCACAGGCTCACAGTTAACATGCACGGCGAACGCGCACGCGCGGGCAAATATACGCACGTGCGCAAACACAAGACACCACACAACGCACAGGCTCACCACACCACGCACCCCCCTCCCTCCCCGTACTCACAAAGACAACACGACACGGTTTAATGTCTACTGGTGGTTTATTCTCTATTTAACTAGAATGAATCTACTCGTGTTAGTGCGGGTCAGCAGGGCAGGTCTGTCCTATCTTCCAGCTGTTTAGGGCTCAATTTGCCTAGTCTCTCCCTACTCACCCCTCTACGGGATTTTATCCTCGGACTTACTTCTCCACTCTATACTTACGCTCCGACCTCGAGGTGTAGGAAGCCGCGGAAAGGCGAGGCTGCACGTGGCTTTGGCTGGGAAACTGGACCCGGCTGCTCTCTGACCCGTCTCACGGACGTTCGAGTAGCAGTGGGGATGACGACTCCTCGATCCCTCTCTCCAGTTGACCCCCGGCGCAAAACCGCCAGCTTCCCAAATCCGTCCCTTTTTATGCTTCAACTTCAAAGCCTACGTGCCGCCGACCCGCTGGCCCCTTATCCAATCGGCAGCCTCGGATTTCCCGACCCTGGCCAATCGGATTATCCCCCCTCTCCGACGCCCCGCCCCCCATTGTTTAACCGATGTGTGCCAGTTTGTGGTGATCGTGCTCCAGTTTGTGGTGATCGTGCTCCAGTGTGTGGTGATCGTGTGCCAGTTTGTGGTGATCGCACACATCGTTTACAGACCTTAAAGGTCAATCTGCACCGCCCCGCCCCCCGCCTGCCTGTCATTGCGTGTGCCTTGGGCATTTCCTCATTGCGGTTCTCAGTGAGTTCGCTGTGGCCATACAATTTTAAGTTCATCCACGGCGCCGCAGTGTCATTTGGCCTGGGAGGGCTTCTGCCAATTCCCTGGCCCTGAGAAACCGTGGAGCACCCCCACCAGGGGGTCTCTCGGGTAAAAACTCAGGGGCAGGTGCCCCCCCACGAGGCCCTACGTGAGTGCATGTGTGTGTTTATGTGGGGGGTGGTGGGGAAAGCGCTGTGACGGAAGCCGGGTGGCTTCTCTGTTGCAGCAGCACAGTGGCGGCCCCGCCCTCGGCGGTATGGCTTCGCTGTCGTGGTATCACATAGCCCCCAGAGGTGCCAGTCCCCGTCCCGGGTTGACTGGAGCACCTCGCCTGGGTTGCCCCCACGCGGTAGCGTCGCGGGGTCCGCGGGACTCGTCCAGTCATTGTGGCCGGCCTCGGGGGTGGTGGCTCCGTCTCCCAGGGTTCCGGCGGCGGTCTCCTCCTCCACTCCAACAGTCCTTCTCGGTCCTCGGCACCTGTGGGCTGGGGAACGAACTCAGAGGCGGTAGGGTTTAAGGGCCATTGTCCCCGTCTCCCCCGGCCCGGGCCGGGGCCCCTCGGGGCCCATATACCGTGCAAGGCCCCCGAGTATGGGGGGCGTTGGGACCCCGGGATTTTGGGGTACTCGAACGGTGGGGTCCCCCCCCGCTGGAGCTGCTCTCCATGGTTTTACTCGGCGGACGTTGACCACCATCTCCCGGCCCTTCTCTCCCCCCTGAATCAGCACCGTCCAAGGGGAGATCTGTCGTCCCACGTTCCAGGGTCCCCGCAGGTAGGTGGTCAATTTCCCGACCTGCCCGGCCCCGACGCGAGGAGTGTGCAGCCACACTTTTGAGCCCGCCGAGTAGAAGGGGGGCTCCATTCGGGTTCGGGCGCTCTGCTCTTGCCGCTGGTGCGCGGCCTCTCCTTGCTGGTAGGCCCGGTCCCGGGCCCCTCGTAGAGTCTCCATCAGGTGTTCCACTGGGCGGCTCCCCTCCTCCCGTTGTGGTGGGGGGACACCGAACAGCAGATCTATGGGTAGACGAGACTCACGGCCAAACATCATTTGGAACGGGGTCTGGCCCATGGACGTGTGTACTGTGGTGGTGTAGGCGAACAGGGCGTAGGGGAGGTGTTCGTCCCAGTCCTGTTGATTTGCGGCCGCCATGCATTTGAGCTTCCCGGCTAGAGTCTGGTTCATCCGCTCCACCATATCGTTCGCCTGGGGGTGGTATGCCGTGGTTCGGTCCTTCTGGATTCCGAACTCGCGGCACAGCGCCTGGAACAGCTCGGCCTCAAACTCACTATCTTGGTCGGTAATGACCCGTTCGGTGATCCCGTGCTTCAGCACGTAGTGCTCGACGAACGCTCGGGCTACCACGAGGGCCATCTTATCGGGGATGGCTACTGCTATGGGATAGCGTGTGAAGTATTCTACTGCTACGAGAATATATCGGTTGCCCCGGTGGGATTGCGGGAATGGCCCTTGCAGGTCGATCCCAACCAGCTGGTTTGTTCGACTGACGCGGAACGGTCTCAGGGGTACCTGATATCGCGCCGGTTTCGGTCCGCACTGCTGGCACGCGCGGCAGCCCTGTACCCAGGCGGCCACGTCTTGTGCTAATTTGGGCCAGAGATACTGGCGGCGCAGGGTCTCCCGAGTGCGCCGTTCCCCGTCATGGCCCCCGAGCGGGTGGTCGTGCACCAGTCTCAGCAGCTGGGGTCGCACGTGGGGGGGAACACAGATGCACCCCGGCTGGCCGGCTTCGGTTAGCTCTCGCACCACCCCGTTCCGCACGCACAACCGGATATACAAGCCACTCCAGGGTCCCGGTAGGGCGCTCTTCTTCTCCCTTAGGGCCGCTGCCACCGCCGCCAGGTCCAGGTCCCGCTGTTGGGTCTGTCTCAGCTGCTCGTCGTCCAGTCCTGGGAAGGCACAGCCGACGCCCTCTTGGATCCGCCTGGTCAGGGTGGGGTGGTCCGTCGGTTTCCCGGCTCCTTCTGCAGGGGTCCCTGCGGCGCATACCATACTCTCTCTCGGGGGGGGGGTTAGTTTCAGCGCGCTCCCGGGGGTCCGCCGCCTGTCGGCAACGTCCCCCTGTGAAGCACGGGCAGGCTTCTTCCGCCCTCGTCTCGGCGCACACCGCGGGCCGCCTCGACAAGGCGTCCGCGTTTGCATGTGTCCGTCCTGCTCGGTACTCGATCTGCAGGTTGTACTCCTGCAACTGCGCCAACCATCGGGCCATCTGCCCCCGTGGTTCCTTGAACGTAAGGAGGAACTGCAGGGCATAATGGTCGGTGCGTACCCGACATTTCCTGCCGTACAAATACGGTCGGAACTGTTTACACGCGAAGATCACGGCATACAGTTCTTGACGGGTCACGCAATAGTTCAGCTCAGCCCCGCTCAGGGTCCGACTGGCATATGCGATGACCCGCTCCGTCCCACCCTGCACCTGTGACAGCACCGCGCCCAGCCCACTGCTGCAGGCATCGGTGTCCACAATAAAATCAGTGGTGAAATCAGGGAAAGCCAGGGTGGGGGTGTGGGTAAGGTGGTCTTTGAGGGTAGTGAAGGCAGGCCTCCGTTCACTGACAGGGGTTCTTAGGGGATGTGAGTTGGGTGAGGGGGCGTGCAATCTCACTGAATCCCTTTACAAATCGACGATAATAGATGGCAAGCCCCAAGAATGACCTGATCTCAGTCAGGTTCCTTGGCCGTGGCCAATCCACTACGGCGCGTACCTTCTCCGGATTGGTGCGTACCCCTGCCTCGCTGACTCGGTGTCCGAGGTACCCCACCTCGCGCTGTGCAATGTAACACTTACACGGTTTGAGCTTGAGATGGGCTGCTCGCAGTCGCTGGAATACCTCCCGTAGTCTGGACCAGTGCTCAGACAGAGACCTACTGAACACTATCACGTCGTCCAGGTAAATTAGGCATTGTTCCCACTGCAAGCCCCGCATCACCAACTCTATCAACTGCTGGAACGTCACGGGCACGTTAGTGAGTCCGAACGGCAGCACCCGAAACTCAAACAGTCCCATCGGGGTGGTAAATGCGTTTTTTGGCTGATCCTCCTCCGCCATCTCCACCTGCCAGTACCCGGATGCCAGATCGAGGGTGGAAAAATACCGCGCTCCTGCGAGACTGTCAAAGGTGTCATCGATGCGTGGGATGGGAAAGGCGTCGCCGAGGGTGATTGCGTTCAATTTTCAGTAATCAACACAGAATCGGGTCGATCCATCCTTTTTTGTCACTAGTACCACCGGGGCAGACCAGGGGCTCGCTGAGGGCTGGATTATCTTGTCGCGGAGCATATCTACGACTGCCTCTTTAATCTG